CATGCCGCGGAGCGGCTGGGCCCGTGAGCCATGGCCGCTGAGCCTGCGCGTCCGGAGCCTGTGCTCCGCAACGGGAGAGGCCACAACAGTGAGAGGCCCGCGTACCGCAAAAAAAAAGAAAAAGTGTGTATGAACTTTTTTAGAATTGAATAGTGTGTGTATATTTATATATATTATAACAATATATATGTGTATAAATATATGTATTTATAACCTTTTTAAAAATCAAACACACTGTGTTTCAGAGGACCAGACAGACCAGTCTCAAAAATTGGTTAAGAAAAATGTGAACTCTATGGGGAATTCCCTGGCGGTCCAGTGGTTAGGCTCCGCGATTGCACTGCTGAGGGCGCAGGTTTGATTCCTGGTCCGGGAACTAAGATCCTGCAAGCTGGTTGGCAAGGCCAAAAATAAATTTAAAAAAAAAGGAAAAGAAGCAAGATGCTTAAAAAAAATGTCGGCTCTACATTTTTAATATAGTAACATAATAAAGAGGAACAGTAAACAATTTTAATAAGTAATGTAATAAAGTAACGTAATAAAGAGGAACAATAGACATGGTGTTAAAAAAAATTAAATAAATCCCACCTATATTCGTTCCCATCTATAAACATCCATTAGGTATTTAAATAAGTCACCTAATCTTTGTGAATGCGTGATTCTTCATCCATAAAATGAAAATAATATTGCCTAATATATCTTCCTCAAAGGATTATTAAGAAAATTAAATTATTTTACACAGTGGCATAAAGAAATGTAAGTTAACTTTCCTCTTATTAATACATGAATTTTATCTAGTATTTATTAGATACTTATTAAGCGGCTGACATGATACTAATTGCTTTACAACATGCTATCTAATAATCGAAACAACCCTTTGAATTAGGCAAGAAATGAGAAAGTGACATTCAAATATTAAAATGTCTGACTAAGATTAATCGCTAGTTAAGTGGCAATACTGAGATTAGGTCATCCTTCCAACTCATGCTTTTAACTACTATGCTTTAGTACCTCTCCATGTTTAGACTGAACTGTAAGTTAAAGATATGCTCTAAGAACTTTTCCTAAAATCTAAGGTCCATATATTAGTATATATGGTAAAGTTCCCCTGGCAACCTATTTTTCCAAATGTGTTCTGACTTTCATAAGCAAATTAAGCAGCTATAAAAACCTCTACAAAAATACAAAAATATTGCTCAGCATAGACTAGTTATATATGTTTACATTATAACATACAAATATTTATTTATAAATATGTTTATTATTTACTTCCCATCTTCAAGAGCATTTATTGCAGCTATTATATTGATGAGATATTGAGATATTCTTTCAGCACACTAATTCCTACCTCTTTGTTGTTCTCTCAGGTAGATAAATTTTACAAGTTTATACTAGCCAGCTCATCTCGACATGATTGTTGGTTCCTTTGTTGACGGACACCCTCTGCTTCTATTTGTTTCTAATAATTATAGATAACAGATATTCAGCACTTTGTGCCAATTACTTTACTTGCTTTATCTCCCTCAATCCTCTCTGCAACTCTCTGATGAAACCATTCATATAATAATCATATTTCAGAGTAGGAAACTAAGACATTGAACATTTAAATGACTTGCCTAGGGTTACCCAAACGGTAAATTATAACATTGGGATTCCATTTTAATCCAATGGACTCTGCTCTGAACATTTTAAGTTTAACTGTAAACAACATAATATGAGTTTGTTTTTAACAAATAATGTGGTAGCATTTTCACCACAGCAGGGAATTCCATTTTCAGCAAAAGATAAAGAGATACACTACAGTCTTTTCTTTAAAATCGTACTTTAATTTGCTTCTCCTTCCATGTCTTGGTTTACACATAATTTCAGGAAATATCATCCTAAGGCAGGCACCTGTGGAGATAAGGCATCAGGCACACTGACTTGTAATGAGCCCAGATTGGTAACTGGGCAGAAAAAGCTAAAAGGAGGAAAGTAAAAGTCTTATACTCCTGTTGGTTGCAGATATCCGAAGTGACTATGAATGCTCAGGGGAAAAGTTGAGGATAGCTCAGGGTTATGTTATTGACTTCTGTGTCATTTTGCTAACCTCTAGTTAATAAGGGCAGCTCTAGGTGTTATGACCTTTCCAAAAAGGGTAATTGCTTTTCTCATTCAATTCATATGTAATGGTGCTCCTAAACTTCCTTGGGTTTTTATTAAGAAGGCAAAATCCTTTAGCAATAATTTTAGGACAGCACAGTTTCTGGTGAATCTTCGCATAGAGAGAAGTGGCATGAGAAATGCCTCCACACCATCTTTCATACCCTCAGTTTGCATTGGTAAATGACTTGTTTGGTTTGGCTCTCCTCCTGCTGCTTCTCTGGACCTTGAAATCCTGTGGACATGGTGGTCTAGGTCAACAGAATCTAGGAAGGTGGAGGGTTTTCTTTCTTGATTATCTATCATCAAAAAGTTCAACTAAATCCTACCACAAAGTGTCCCTTATCCTTCTGTCATATATGAAGTACTGGGCAGGACTAGTACTTAATAGACATTTTTTTAAATGCTTAACAATAGTTTCAAAAATTGAGAGCAAGCAGTACTGCAGGGATATAGGAATGGCTTCATATAGCTGTTTTCCCTTCTAATTTTTGTAGGGCTTATTTCAATCATCCCTCAGTATCTGTGGGAGATTGGTTCCAGAAAATGCCAAAATTGGTTGGTTCCCTGCAGATACCAAAATCCGCAGGTGCTTAAGTCCCTTATATAAAATGGCATAGTATTTACATATAACCTATGCACATCCATCTGTATACTTTAAATCGCCTCTAGATTATTTATAATACTTAATGAAATGCAAATGCTATGTTAATAGTTGCCAGTGTGTAGCAAATTCAAGTTTTGCTTTTTGGAACTTTCTGAGTTTTGTGTTGTTTTTTTAATATTTTCTACCTGCGCTTTATTGAATCTGTGGATGTGGAACTCGTGGATATGGAGGGCCAACTATATATTTAATTCATTTGTATCAACGGATTGAAGCATCCTCCACATCTTTTATTCCTCTGAATAATATCCTAATTTATGGATTGGGTTTTGGCTTACTGATTTCCAGTAAGAAAAACTTGTTTTTCTGTCACATAGCCAACAGCACAGCTGTGACAGCAGATGAGCAGTTCTCCAAGGGCAGTCAGCCAGGCTGGCTACCTCAGAGACTCCAGAGAGGATCCCAGGAAGGATTGCTCACCTTGTCACCCTTTCAGGCAGATGTAGAGCTGCACTCTGTGCCAACAAGAAAGAGGTGCACAAAATGTGTTAGAGCTTCTTAATGGTTTGGGAATATCTATCGGTTTTGTGAATTCTCCTTAGGTATCTTTACATTGTACATGTTCAATCTTCTCAATCCTACAAAATGAAGGGAGTAAAGATTTTATTTTCTGTTTTCTTATATCTGCTGATTTCCCCTTTCTTTTGTAGCAGCACTATAATAACTAAGTAATCCCAACTATTTTTATTTCTTTAGATTAGTAAACAGCCAAGGTATATCCTATGCTAAATTGTCCTCAACTTTATATCTAATTTCCAATTATTACTATCATAAAATATTATTTAACACTCATATTTTTTAAATGTATGTATATTATATAACACTAATGTATTATATTAATTATATTAATAAGTTATTATTCTTACATGTGATTACCCATATGGTGTTTACACTGTGTATTTAATTAATTATTCTTAATATTAAAACTATTGTTTAGTATATTTTATGTACTATTTTCTTAATTTTAGGTGTACAAGAATTTCCAGAAAACATAAAGTGCTGTAAGTGTTTAACAATTATTGAAGCCAGTGTCAATCCCATTTCTAAGTGAGTATGAGTGATTACATTTTATTTATCTTTATATTTCCATTAGATAATAATGTACCAAGATAAAGGAAACTCACATAGTAAATGAATTTTAAATGATGTATTTAAACTTCAGTTTAATAGAATGATGGGAAAGGAATAATCAAATCAGGATAGTTCAATAAAAGATGAGTAAAAGCATTGCTGAGTAACAATGAAGGCCTAATTGACACAAGATGGCATTACTTTGAAGGAAACCGTGTCATCATTTTTTATGGTTCTCAAGCAACATTCCATGGAAGAGCGCCAAAACTAAGAAAACAGTTATTAGTTATGGTCATGCTGGAAAATTAGCATCAAGGTTCTGATGAAAGTTCAAGAGAGTGCAAGTGTATAAGGTGCATGCAAATAGCTGTCATGTGATTCAAGGTGGAAAATGAATTAAGTATGATCAGAAAAAGGGAGTACTGTATTTACGTATCAGATATCACAGGAAGAGCAAAAAGACAGTTCTGCGAGGATAGCCTAATGGAAGACATGGATGGTAAAAATACTGTGATCAGAAATAGCGTATTTGTGTGTCATGATCTGTTAGTAGAGAAATGCCAAGGGAAAGTGAAACCCAGCATGTGACCATATTTCAGATTATGATATGCCATAGTGATAGGGTATATTGTGGAATCAAATAGGTCAAGAAACCATGAAGTGAATGAATTGGGTAAGCCCTGGACCTGAATGTTAAAGTCACTTATCTGTGGAAGTGGATGTAAAATCTAGAAAGTCTATTGAAAGTTGTAGTAACATTTGAAAGTGGATGAAATTAATCAGTGGTATTGGGATGCAGATAATGAGTTGCAAAGTAAGACTGGCATTTTAATAATACAAAAACTGACAGGATTTGAGCAAAATCCCTCAGTCCTTTGTCCACATGAAGATGGGGAGACTGGGAGAAACTGAAGTTCATAGGAAAGGCATTGAATGAATCTAGTGTTTCCAGTAAAAGACAAAAGGAAGTTTATCAAAGGGAATTTAAGGGGAAAATTTTCACCAATAGGGTTGAGGAGAGGGAGTAGTGAGGATGGTTTCTCTATGGATCATGAGAAGAGGATGTAGGTGAAACTAGAAATGAAATAGAATGTAAAAAAAATGAGGTAGAAGTTTAGATGAGGCTCTTTACAGTGAATGGTTTGTGAAATAATTTGAGGCCTTTAGTAGAAAGTGTGGAACATCAAGGAATAAACTATGTTTGAATAAAGCATATTCTACCTCAAATGTAGAATATGGTGAGGGGAAAGAAAAACGTGAAAAGTATTCTCCAAAACACTTAGACCAAAATGCAACTTTTTCATGAAAGAAATAAATATTGCTAACATCACAACAGGACTATATACATGTCCTTGACTTAAGTCATAATCCAGGGCAGATGATGAATTATTTTGATTTCTAGCTCTTTAATTCTAATAGCTCATTGTATTTAGGAATCATGGTCAGGTCTTTGAGAGTGGGAGTCAGATGATAAATTACATATTTAAAAAGCTTAAAATCTATAGTTTTATTGGCTATGCCTCTGAATTCTTTTCATATATTTAACTTTTTAAAAGATAAATGAATATAACTGATTTCATCAAAAAATGTCTAACACCAAAAGAAAGTTTGGGAATTCATTAAAATATTACTCAAAAAAAAGTCAATTTAAATAGTATATCAATTTTAAAGTCAGGTTTTTTTTTTTAAGATATATTGGGTTGGCCAAAAAGTTCATTTGGGTTTTTCCCTAAGATGTATGGAAAAACCCAAATGAACTTTTCGGCCAGCCCAATAATTCACATACAATAAAATTCTCTCTTTTAGGTGTACGGCTCAGTGAATTTTGAAAAATGTATATAGTTACGGAATCACCATAATCATTAAGATATAGACTATTTCCATCATCCCCAAAAGTTCCCTCAGCCCAGTCATCCATTGATCTGATTTCTGTCCCCATGGTTTTGCCTTTTCCAAAATATCATATAAATAGTGTCATATTTTGTGGTTTTTTTCTTAACACTGATTTTGAGGTTTATTCCTGCCATTTCAAGAATTGGTACTACATTCCCATTTATTTCTAGGTAGAATTCCATTGTATGAATGTAGTACAATTTGTTTATCTCTTCCTCAGTTGATAGACTTTTAAGTTGTTTCCAGTTTGGGGCTATTATGAATAAAGTGGCTATAAACCTTTCTGTACAGGTGTTTGTGTAAGCATCTGTTTTCACTTCTGTTGGGTAAACACCTAGGAGTAGTTTTCTCTGTAGTATGGTACATGTATGCATAACCTTTTAAGAAATTTCCAAACTGTTTTCCAAAAGAACTATTTCATTGTGCATTCCAACCAACAATCTGAGTTTCCATTGTTCCTCATTATTGTCAACATTTGGTACTGTCAGTTTTGTTTTTTTTTCTATTTTAGCCAGTCTAGTAGATATAGTATCTCATTGTCATATCTCATTGTAGTTTTAATTTATAGTTTAAATGTCAAATTAGCATCTTTCCTTGTATTTATTTACAATCTTATTGCTTCTTTGTTAAAAGTTCATATTTTTTGTTCATATTTATTGACTTGTCTTTTTATTATTGAATTATAAGAATTCTTTATAAATTCTGGCTAAAAATCAGGTATTTGTTTGCTCTTATGACTTATCTTTTCACTTCCTAAATAGTGACTTTCAAATATAAAAAGATTTTCATTTTCATGAAGTCCTATTTATAATTTTTTTATGGTTTATTCTTCTTGTCCCTGTCTAGGAGATCATTACTAAATTCATAGTCATAAAGATTTTCCTCTATGCTTTCCTTTGGAACTTTTGTAGTTTTGGTTTTACATTTAGGTCTATGATCCATTTAAAGTTGATTTTTGTAAATATGTATGTAAGGTGTGAGGGTTGTGGTTCTCTTTTTTATTTATTTATTGCATATAGATATCCAACTGTTCCAGTACCAAGATTATCCTTTTTTTTTTTTTTTTTTTGGGGTCCGGGAGCCTCTCACCGCTGTGGCCTCTCGCGTTGCGGAGCACAGGCTCAGGACGCGCAGGCTCAGTGGCCATGGCTCACGGGCCCAGCTGCTCCGCAGCATGTGGGAATGGGATCTTCCCGACCCGGGGCACGAATCCGTGTCCCCTGCATCGGCAGGCGGACTCCCAACCACTGAGCCACTAGGGAAGCCCTATCCTTTCTTTATATAATTATCTGAGTAACTGTTTGGTAAATCAATTGATCATATGTGTTTGGATCCATTTCTGAATTCTCTATTTTTTATGTTAATCTATATGCCTCTCCTAACACCAGTTTTATACTATCTTAATTACTGCAGCTTTGTAGTAATTCACACAGTCAGGGAATGTGAGTCCTTCAACTTTGTTCTTCTTTATCAAAATTATTTGGGCTCTTCTGTGCCCTTTGCTTTTCCATATAATTTTTATAATCAGCTTGCTAAAAAATATGGAATTTTGATAAGGATTTATTGAATCTGTAGATCAATTTGGGCAGAATTGACATGTCAAAAATATTGAGTATTCCTTTTTCTGAACATAATATATCTCTATACTTATTTAGATCTTTTAAAAATTTTTATCAATGTTTTGTAGATTTAAGTTTACAAATATTGTGCAAGTTTTGTTCATCTTATTCCAAGTATTTCATGTTTTGGGGACAATTACAAATAATTTTTCTATCATAGAAATATAATTGATTATTGTATATTGACCTTATACCCTGCAACTTTATTAGATTCACTTATTAGTACTAGTAAATACTTTGTAGCTTTGTGGGGGAAGGGATGTGATTTTCTATGTAGACTATCATGTTACCTGTGAATAAAGACAGTTTTATTTCATCCTTTTCAATCTGTACTTCTTTTATTTATTTATTTAGCCTTATTGTCCTGGCTAGGACCTCCTGTATAATGTTGAAGAGAAGAGGTGAAAACAGATATTATTGCCTTGTTCCCAATCTTAGGGAGAAAGCATTCAGACTTTCACCATTATATATAATTGTTACTTATTCTTTTCTTTTTAATACATTTCCTTTATCAGGCTGAGGGAATTTAAAATAATACATTTCTCACTTCCTTTTGAGCTTTTACCAGCAGGGCTGTCAGAGTTTAGATTTCTACTTTCAAACTTTTCAAGAAAATCAAGGCTTTCTCTATGATGCTCTTCAACAGTCATGCAATCTCTGACCACCTCCTGGTTCCAAAGCCACTCCACATGTTTTAGGAATTTATTACAGCAGAATCCCAATACCAGATACCAAAATCTGTGTTAGTTTTATAATGCTGTGTAAGAAATTACCATATACTTTGTGGCTTACAACAACACATATTTACTATCTCTAAGTTTCTGTGGGTCAGAAATCTGGTCATGCTCTAGCTGGGTTCCCTGTTTGAGAGTTTCACCAGGCTACCATTAAGGGATCAAACTGCAGTCTCATCTGGAGGCTCAACTGGAAAGAAATACATTTTCAAGCTCATTCAAGTTATTGGCAGAATTCATTTTCTTGCTGTTATAAACCTGTGAGCCCCAGCATTTTGCTGGCTGACAGCTAGAGGCCACTTTTGCCTCCTAAAGGCTGGTGCAGTTCCCAGCCAGGTGACCCTCTCCATAGGCAGTTCACAACATAGCATCTTGTTTCTTCGAGGCCAGCAGCAGAGCAGAGTGAGTATCATAGCAAGATGGAGTCAATAATGTAATATAGTGATGAGAATGACATCATATCCTTTTTACCACATTCCATTGATTAGAAGCAAGTCACAAGTCCTACCAATACTCAAGAAGAGAAGATTTTACCAGGTCATGAACTTCTGAAAGCGAAGATTATGGGGTCCACCTTAGAATCTGCCAAATCTTTTACATCTGTTTTGCTGAGACTTTTTCCCGTCAATAGATGTTGAATTTTGTCAAAGTTTTTCTTAAAAAAATATCTATTGACATGATGATATAAATAAACCCTACCTGGTCATGAAGTATCACATTTTTAATAAAT